TGAGAAGGAGCAGGAGGAGGAGGAGGAGGAGGAGGAGGAGGAGGAGGAGGAGGAGGAGGAGAGGGAGGAGGAGGATGATGATGATGATGATGAGGAGGAGGAGGAGGAGGAGGAGGCAGAGGTTGGGTGATGCACGCGCCAGCAGCGCCTCCCACCCCCCTCGCTTTGGAGTGGGGGCGGCACGGGCGCGTCATCTGTGCATGCCTCATGTCTTACTCTGGTGCGAGAGTCCTGGGGGCCATGCCACCATGGACCCCCCCTCTCCCCCCTTCCCCTCTCCCCTTCCCCTTCTTCCCTTTCCCTCTTCTTCCCCTTCCTGCCCCACCGCCTTCATCCTCTCCTGCCACCCTCCCTCTCCCGCGCCCCCTCGCCCGCCCGCTCTGCTCCTCGCCCCGCCATCGCCCCTCCTCGCTGCTTCCGTCACCTCCCTCGCCCTCCCCTCTGCCTGCTTCCCGCCCTCGGGCGCCCCCTCCTCCCTCCCCCCGCTCTTTTCGCTCCCCGTCTTCCCTGTCTCCCGCTCTCGGCCCTCCTCTCCTCCGCCCCTCGGTCCCTCCGTCCGTGCTCCCCTCGCGCTTCCCACCTCGTGTTCTCCTGTCCCTGGGTCCTGCCGTGCTCCCTTCTCCACTCTCCCTCGTCTCGCTCCCTCTCTTGTGCCTTCCGTCCTCGCCACATGTCCTCCCTCCTCAGGCGGACGAGCAGGAGGAGGAGCAGGAGGATGAGGAGGATGAGGAGGAGGAGGAGGAGGAGGAGGAGGAGGAGGAGGAGGAGGAGGAGGAGGAGGAGGAGGAGGAAGGGACAGAGGCGGGATGATAAGGTGGGTGGGAGGGAGAAGAGAGGAGGGAGAGGTGAGGATGATGAGGATGCGGAAGACGAGGATGAAGATGAGGAGGAAAATCAGGGTGGGGGAGGAAGAGGATCAGGAGGCGGTTCCTCCTCCCCTCATGTACCCTCGCGCTCCCTCATCATGCCTGTCCCCGTTCTCCACCACGCTCCTTTTCCCTCCCCCCTCCCCCAATCCTTCCGTTCCTCACTCTGCCTCTCCCCCTGCTTCCAAGTCCATCCTCCCTCCTCCCCCCTTCTCCTGTCTTTTCCCTCCTCTCCTGCCTCCCGTGCACGGCGACAACCACGGACAGCTGGGAGGCCCCCTTCGCCGACGACTGGGCTGCTACGACGCTGACGGCTTGGGCGAGTGCATGAGACCACCAACGTCGGACCTCCGCATGACAGCTTGAAGTAGTTGTGGCGAGAGGCGCTCTTGCGATCTGCCTCCCCACCGCTCTACAGTCAACCCGCATAGTAAGGATGGGCAACCTTCCCAAGGGTACTCTTTCATCCTTGCCTCCTCGGCCCATCCTTCGCCGCCTGCGCTGGCCGCGCCCCGCTCGAAAAGCTTCGAAATGGGCGTCCAAGGCCCTTGCATCCTTATCGCGCATCCTTACTGTACTGGTTGGCTGTACTCGGGATGCTCCTGCCGGAGCTGACCTCATCGCTCGGGGCTGGAGCCCTCCCTACGGACGCCTGTGCCCGCTGCTGGCGCAGCCTGTCTCGCAGGTGAGGCGCCCGTCGGGATAAGAAGCTGCGCTGAGACCGGCGAAACGCAACGGCACCTTTGGCATCGCTCGGACGTGTGCACGTTTTTCCTCGGCGGGGACCGTCGAGGAGCATCCTGGATCATCTGGCAACAAGCATCGCAGGCCTAGAGGTTGACACCAACACCAATATCGGCAGTGTGCCTCCACCGAGGGAAAAAGATCCCGATCTCGGTGATGGTGGTAATATTCTGGCTTCCAAGGTGGCCAAAATACTACCTCCAACACTGACAAAAAGGATCATCTTCCCCCTGTGGAGGCAACCCCCTGTGTTGGTGTTGGTGCCCATTTCCAGTCCTCCAAGAATAGCATGGACGAAACCGACCCTGCACGGGGAAGGGGCGTCCGAGCGACGGCAAGGTGCCGAGGCGTGTGCGGCTGCAGGTCGGTGCACCGATCGCACTGCCGGCGTGCCTCCCGCCGCGCCCCGCGACTCCTGGGGCGAGCCCGCGCCGCCGAGCCTCGAGGCTGCTGCCGACGAGCTTCGCGGCCGCCGTCGACAGGCCAGGGCCCACATCGCAACTCCCGCCAGACCACCCCAGCCCAACCCGAAGGCCTCAGCTTGCCCTCCATTGCCAGTGGGGGGGCTCGGGGAACATGGAGAACACACATATGGGACCCGTACCCCCCCAACCCGAAATTCGGGGGGGTGGTCTGGTAGGTAGTCGATATCAACTCGATCGGCCCGACCTGGTATCGATTCGGGCGGCCTAGCTCCGATTCGACTCCGGCAATATGTGTTGATCCGATGCGGCCCGATGCACGCACGGCGCTGGTGCGCATCCTGGCGCGGCCGGTGCGATTCCGATGCCGCTTCTCCGCGCCAGTGTGGCCCGTCTCGGCAGGCTCAAGTCGGGCATGTCCCTCTACGGGGGACGATCTTTCCACTTCGTTCGATTCTTTTGAGCACTTTTCGTTTCTTTTTCAGTCTCTCTTCCGACATCCGCCTCGAGGAGGCCACGCCCGACCTGGCGATGCGCGCTCCGCGCCGGCTCGATCGATGCACTGCGGACCGCTCCCGGAGGCGGCGGGCGGCCCCTGGCGCCTCCCGGCCTCCGTGGCGCGGGGGCCTTTTTGTTGGGGTTTGTGCCTGTGCTTCGGGGTCTGGGCGACAGCTCAGGAGGGGAAAAAACACACAGACACAATTAATCGTCGATCCCCCGGAAAATATGGGAAAATATGGGAAGTGGTGGGGAAGACAAAAACCCAGAAAATATGGGAAAATATGGGGAATCCTTTTATTTGTGTGTATTTATTTGTGTGTCCCAGTTTCCCTTTAACAGCGTGGAGTCGGGCACGTCCCTCTGCAGGAGAAGCAGTCCACAGACATAGCTGAAGAATAGTCAGGGGCAGACTCTTCCGCTATCTTCTTGTCCTTTCTGGAGCACTCGCCTACTTTGCATGTTCGTCCAGAATCCGCCTGTATGGGGGACATGCCCGACCGAACGACGGCGGCCGTGGTCGGCCCTGCCCCCCCCCTCCCCCGGACGGTGTCACGCTACTTTGCCCACATCTGCAGCGGATCTCCCCCAGACTCTCCGAGGATGGCTTCCTAGCTCTCCGGCGGCCCCCCGCCGGGATGTCCCCGGGGGGGGGGGGGGGGGAGGAGCTCCCTCCCCCCTCCTCCTCCCCCGAGCAGGCCCGTTATCTCGCGACCGAACCTTTTTTTTTTTTTTTTTTTTTTTGTTTGTTTATTGTTTTTTTTGTTATTGTTTGTTTTTTTTGTTCCCCCCTCCTGGGCCGAGCGCCTCGCAAAGCGCCCGGCGAGAGCCGACGTGCACCTGCCGCGGCGGCCTCCGCCGAGTGGCGGGGGCAGCTCGGCCCCGCTCGTGGTGCCCCGTCGCCGCTGCCGCTGCCGCTGCCGTCTGCTGCCCCGAGCGCTGCGCCCGCCGCGGCGCCCGCGGGGCGCCAGCGCGAGGGCCCCGCCTGGCCCTGCGCGGCAGGCCCGAGGCAGGCCCGAGGCAGGCCGCCCGTGCGTGCGGTGTGCGCGCGGCGACGGCGCAGCGGCGAGCTTCGTGGGAGGTTCTGCGGCTGCCGCCCCGGCCTTCCGGGGCTTCTGGGCCCGAGGCCCGCCCGCGCCCCCGCAGAGCTCCGAGCGGGTCGGGTCGCTGCGCCCGCCTTTCCTTTCAGGGGGGCAAGAACCACACACAGAACATCCAAGAAACATGGAAAGCATAGGCGATCCTGGGAGTTATGTTTATTTCCCAACCTTCCTTGTCTTGGGTAATTACTCGTTTTGAATAGAGCACTGTGGTATCCACCTCCCGCCCTCTCCTCCTTCTCTCCTGTGTTCGCGGTGCCCCGCGGGGCTGCGATCTGCGCAACTGTCGCCACTTTCGTGGGTTCCTGGGAGGCCCAGCGGAGGTGCGTCCTACGCAGATCACTTTGAGGCCTCCCTGTCCCCCGCGGGGCTGCGATCTGCGCAACTGTCGCCACTTTCGTGGGTTCCTGGGAGGCCCAGCGGAGGTACGTCTTACGCAAACCGCTTTGAGGCCTCCCTGTCCCCTTGGCGCACCTGGCGCGCACCTGGCGCGCAGCTGGCGCGCTGGGCGCACCTGGCGCGCACCTGGCGCACCTGACGCACCTGGCGCACCTGGCGCACCTGTCGCACCTGGCGCACCTGGCGCACCTGGCGCACCTGGCGCGCACCTGGCGCGCACCTGGCGCGCACCTGGCGCGCACCTGGCGCGCACCTGGCGCACCTGACGCACCTGACGCGCTGGGCGCACCTGGCGCGCACCTGGCGCACCTGGCGCGCTGGGCGCACCTGACGCACCTGCCGCACTCGGCGCACCTGGCGCACCTGGCGCACACCTGGCGCACACCTGGCACACCTGGTGCATCTGGCGCACCTGGCGCACCTGGCGCGCTGGGCGCACCTGGCGCGCTGGGCGCACCTGGCGCACCTGCCACACCTAGCACAGACCTGGCGCACCTGGCGCGCCTGTCGCACCTGGCGCACCTGGCGCACCTGGCGCACCTGTCGCACCTGGTGCACCTGGCGCACCTGGCTCACTTGGCGCGGCTGGCGCACCTGGCGCACCTGGCACACCTGGCGCACCTGGCGCACCTCGCGCACCTGGCGCGCACCTGGCGCACACGTGGCGCACACCTGGCGAAACTGGCGCGCCTGGCGCGCGCCTGGCGCGCGCCTGGCGCGCACCTGACGGGCTGGGCGCACCTGGCGCACCTGTGAGCACCTGGCGCGCACCTGGTGCACCTGGCGCACCTGACGCACCTGGCACACCTGGCGCACCTGGCGCGCCTGGCGCGCACCTGGCGCAGACCTGGCGCACCTGACGCACCTTGCGCATCTGGCGCACCTGGCGCACCTGGCGCACCTGGCGCACTTGGCGCACCTGGCGCACCTGGCGCGCTAGGCGCACCTGGCGCACACCTGGCGCACACCTGGCGCACCTGGCTCACTTGGCGCGCCTGGCGCGCCTGGCGCACCTGGCGCGCCTGGCGCGCCTGGCGCACCTGGCGCACCTGGCGCACCTGGCGCGCCTGGCGCCACTGGCGCACCTGGCGCACCTGGCGCGCCTGGCGCGCCTGGCGCACCTGGCGTACCTGGCGCAGCTGGCGCACCTGGCACACCTGGCGCGCTGGGCGCACCTGGCGCACCTGGCGCGCTAGGCACACCTGGCACACACCTGGCGCACACCTGGCGCACCTGGCTCACTTAGCGCGCCTGGCGCACCTGGCGCACCTGGCGCGCCTGTCGCCACTGGCGCACCTGGCGCACCTGGCGCGCCTGGCGCGCCTGGCGCACCTGGCGCACCTGGCGCACCTGGCGCACCTGGCGCACTTGGCGCACTTGGCGCTCTTGGCGCACCTGGCGCGCTGGGCGCACCTGGCGCACACCTGGCGCACACCTGGCGCACCTGGCTCACTTGGCGCGCCTGGCGCACCTGGCGCACCTGGCGCGCCTGGCGCGCCTGGCGCACCTGGCGCACCGAGCGCACCTGGCGCGCCTAGCGCACCTGGCGCGCCTGGCGCCACTGGCGCACCTGGCGCACCTGGCGCGCCTGGCGCGCCTGGCGCGCCTGGCGTACCTGGCGCAGTTGGCGCACCTGGCACACCTGGCGCGCTGGGCGCACCTGGCGCACCTGGCACACCGGGCTTACACCTGGCGCACACCTGGCGCACACTTGGCGCACCTGGCGCGCCTGGCGCATCTGGCGCACCTGGCGCGCCTGGCGCGCCTGGCGCGCCTGGCGCACGTTGCGCACCTGGCGCACCTGGCGCACCTGGCGCGTCTGGCGCGCTTGGCTCACCTGGCGCGCATGGGATTCTGGGAGGCTCAGCGGGGGTACGTCCTACGCAGATCACCATTATACCATGGCGCCGAAATGTCCTTCGGTATTGAGTGGTCCAGAATGCATTTGCCACTTGTGTAGAAAAGGGTTGGGTACGTCTCAGGATAATTATTTGTGTGTCCTTGGGCCTCTTTGCTCCCGGCTTCTGGACCCGAGGCCTGCCCGCGCCCAGCAACTCTAAGCGAGGCGCTCCGCCCGCCTTTCTTCTCGTCAGCTCAGGGCGCTTTGGACGTGCATCTAACCCTCGCCAGATACCCGCACGTTTCGATGCGGAGGTGATAAGTAACGCGTGCTGCGTCGGGCGCCGTAGACTTAAATCGGGCATATCCCTCTGCAGGAGGATTGTTCAAACATAGTAAAAAATAGTGCGGGGACGATTTCCCGACAACAATTTTTGAGCGTTTGTTCGACTTGTTTAACGACTTTGCGTCCAAGATCCACCTGTAGGAGGACACGCCCGACCTGAACCTTGCCCTCCCCGACAGGGCAGCACGTGTCTCGCAAGCGTGCCGTTGACGGTCCCCGTAGGCTGCCCCGTGTCGTAAGGGCGAGCTTGCCGAGGCGGGAGGCCCTGTTTTCTTCCTGGGTCTCCAGCGTACTGCCTCTCAGTGGCCTTCGCCGCCAGCGTCGAGTGTCGCCCGTCGTCCACCTCGCGCTACCTCCCCCCGTCTATCTCCATTTTCCTTCCTGCGTCTTCTTTCCTCGTCCTCGTCTCCCTCCGCGCCCTCTCTGCGCAAGTCCGCCTCATCCTCTTCCCCCCTCCCCTCCTCCGCGTGGCCTCGGCCTGGGACTCTCTTGCTGGTGCAGCCCTGCGATATTGGAGTGCGGTTACGTAGGTCGGGCATGTCCCTCTACAGGAGGAATGTTCAAGGATGGTTAAACAAAAGCCTGGTGACGATTTTTCGTGCTCTTCTGACTATTGTTGGTTCTGTTTGGCTTATTTTTCTTTCATCCAAAACCCGCCTGTAGGAGGACGTGCCCGACCGAAGAATACGGGAACGGGACCTCTCTGTCAGTTTTCCAGAGGTCGGCGTCGACGGCCTTGGCCGTACGCACGCGCCACCCTGTTCCTGTCGGCCGTCGCTATCTTACGTGCCATGAGCCCCTGAGCAGCAAATGCTGCAACGGTTGGTGGAAGCTCGGCGGCCTGCGAGGGGGGGGGCAGTGAGAAGGAGAAGGCCTTCTCAGAAGGCGGCGGGACTTTCAGAAGCCCTCGCGACTTCGGACAGAAGGCCAGGGGACATCCGAGCCTCGGGACCCCCCGCACGACAATTCCCTGGCCAAAATCCACCCACGCCCCCCACCGCGCCCCCACCACGCCATGACATCCCCACCCCACGCGAGCTCTGTTCTTGGGACCCCCCACGCGACAATTTCCCGACCAGCCCTTCTCACCTTCCCCCCCCTGGTCTCGCCGCCGAGAAGCCTTCGCGGAGCAGCAGGCGCGTCGAGGATGCGGCAGCA